ATTGGTGCGGCATTAGCAGCGGTTTTTTGTATAAAATCAGCGCAGCGAGCCGACCAGAGACTTTTTCCCTCAGACAGCTAGAGAACGAACGTGTATAGAGCAATAGCGCATTTCATTTGTACATAACTTGTTAGTTGTAATAAACCAAGTCGAGATTGAAAACACATATTACTGTTATACACAATTATTTATACAGTCCACTTCAACCATCAGAACTTCTAGGATTGAAACGTTTAATCGCCGCTAAAACTGTCGACGCTACGACGCACATACACTTGCTGTGATACTAAAGAAGCATTTCGTGTTGATGATTTCTAACATCTAACAGGGAACTTGTTGAGAGACATGACCTGCCGTCGAAAACAAGGTCATGTTGATTAAGCGTACTTCCTAAAAGAAGATTATTAATTTCAAGATATCCCAGTAATTATTCATTTGAAGTGGAACGACCATTGACCTGGAACAGGGGCAAATACCAAGCTGGAGTTTTTATAAATGTGAGTATCAGAATAACAAAAATGAAATAAAAGGAGAAGGAGGAAGAGTAGAAAGAGAAGAGAAATAATATAATAAGACAAATTAAATAAATTGTCTCCCGATTGTATTATAGATAGAGAAGATAAAATTGAGAACTAGGAAATAAGGAGCTGGATAAGGAACAAAGGAACGCAAACGAGGTCAACCAAGTACGTAGAACATGAATATATCCTAGAAAAAATAAATAGACGGAAAATTGAAAGAGAAGCATCTCTGATTTATGTTACATAGGAGTAGACCCGTGACAAGGAGTAAGGAACACTCTCGAAAAGGAGGACACGAATAGGAAAGAATAGAAAAGAAACAACCGAGATTAGGATCATGGAATGCGCGAGAACCAATAGACAGGCAACAAAAAGATCGTGGCCGTGTTTGCCACTCTATTATCCGATGGTCCAAATGACTATGACCGTACTGGTTCTTAAGCCATTTGGGCTCCTGACTTTCCCTTTCCCACATCTGGTCACGAACTGCACAACAATTTCAGTTTCGGAAAACACAACGGCTTGACTTTCGATTGGTGTGGCTATAGCAGAGTTTGCCAAAATGCCCTCCGATTGGTGCGGCATTAGCAGCGGTTTTTTGTATAAAATCAGCGCAGCGAGCCGACCAGAGACTTTTTCCCTCAGACAGCTAGAGAACGAACGTGTATAGAGCAATAGCGCATTTCATTTGTACATAACTTGTTAGTTGTAATAAACCAAGTCGAGATTGAAAACACATATTACTGTTATACACAATTATTTATACAGTCCACTTCAACCATCAGAACTTCTAGGATTGAAACGTTTAATCGCCGCTAAAACTGTCGACGCTGCGACGCACATACACTTGCTGTGATACTAAAGAGGCATTTCGTGTTGATGATTTCTAACATCTAACAGGGAACTTGTTGAGAGACATGACCTGCCGTCGAAAACAAGGTCATGTTGATTAAGCGTACTTCCTAAAAGAAGATTATTAATTTCAAGATATCCCAGTAATTATTCATTTGAAGTGGAACGACCATTGACCTGGAACAGGGGCAAATACCAAGCTGGAGTTTTTATAAATGTGAGTATCAGAATAACAAAAATGAAATAAAAGGAGAAGGAGGAAGAGTAGAAAGAGAAGAGAAATAATATAATAAGACAAATTAAATAAATTGTCTCCCGATTGTATTATAGATAGAGAAGATAAAATTGAGAACTAGGAAATAAGGAGCTGGATAAGGAACAAAGGAACGCAAACGAGGTCAACCAAGTACGTAGAACATGAATATATCCTAGAAAAAATAAATAGACGGAAAATTGAAAGAGAAGCATCTCTGATTTATGTTACATAGGAGTAGACCCGTGACAAGGAGTAAGGAACACTCTCGAAAAGGAGGACACGAATAGGAAAGAATAGAAAAGAAACAACCGAGATTAGGATCATGGAATGCGCGAGAACCAATAGACAGGCAACAAAAAGATCGTGGCCGTGTTTGCCACTCTATTATCCGATGGCCCAAATGAATCCGCAGGACATCCCGTCCTATCAGAAGGCCATACGACAAATAATCAAGCTGGAAAGGAGGGCACCCCCCCAGTTCCTACATCATGAGATAAGAAACGGTGGCTTGATCGTTACGTGTGCCACCGACTACGACAAACAGTGGCTCGTTAGACATATCGACCGTGTAAAATTCAGATATAGACTCCAGGTAGATGATCCGATCGCCTTGGAATATAGATTTCTAATAGAGGGCGAAGTTATCAACTTGAAAAATACCAAAGATAATATTTTGCATAAAATCAGGTGTTATAACTCAAGCATCATATTAGGAGATTGGAAAATTATTAAAGATGAAATGAACCATAAAAAAATGACGAGAACTATTACATTTGAAGTGGCTTATCGATCGATAAAATGCTTAGAACAATTGAAAAATAGACTTCGCCTAGACGAATATGGGATTGATGGAATTACCTTTGGCCGAATTCGTCGGATAAAGAGAGTCTAGTCATCACGCGAAAGGTCAGAATCATCGGAAAGCTCTCGATAGGAAACATCCTTGAACATGCCGAGCATTAACGCACAACACAAGGCCACGCATAAGAGCCGGAATGTATGTATATCATAGAGGTGTATGGTCTGTAGAAGTGTTTAAGCCGAGCAAAATGGGCCGATTTGGCAGAAGAGGATTCATGGACAAATCGAACGTGTAGAAAATGGAAATCCTTAAATATTACTATTATGACTATTAATAAAATGTATTCTATCTTTATATATGTAGACATATAATAAATAATAAACAATAAATGTGACAATTTGAAAAATGTGTATCATTTCGCTCGAACCTATTTGACATATTTTGTTAATAATTTTAAAAATCAGGAACAGACGTTTTATTTTCTTTATAAATATTATATTACTGTTTATATACCATTCGTCAAATTTAGGAAATTTGACTGTATTCGTCAAATTTAGGAAATTTGACTGTATTCGTCAGAACTTACTAATAGCACATGTGTGCTATCTTTTTGTCTAGGCAATGCGAGCAATGCCGACCACTTAAGTTTTTACGCGGTAGTATATGAGGATTCATACCGCGGAAGTTCACACGGTGATAAGGCGTATCGCGAATGATGACGAGTGGCAAATGATGCGAACAAATTCAAGAACATCGAGAATTCATATTGTGTTATACGTTCGGGACTTGCGAACTTTTTTTGCGAATATTTTTTTTATAACATATGTATTTTTTTTTCTTACATTTACTGTTTATTGAGCTTTATTTTCTTTATAAATATTATATTACTGTTTATATACCATTCGTCAAATTTAGGGAATTTGACTGTATTCATCAAAACTTAATAATAGCACACGTGTGCTATCATTTTGTCCAGACAATGCGAGCAATGCTGACCACTTAAGTTTTTACGCGGTAGTATATGAGGATACACACCGCGGTAGTTCACACGGTGATAAGGCGTATCGCGAATGATGACAAGTGGCAAATGACGCGAACAAATTCAAGAACATCGAGACTTCATATTGTGTTATACGTTCCGGACTTGCGAACTTTACTACCGCTCGCGAGAATAATTGATAAGATTGTAATGTAATTTCTGATAAACAGACAGCGGAAGTAATACGAGGAAACGGTGACGTGTTGTTATTATGCGATCGGATAAACGATCTGCATATCCTACACGGGAACAGGAACACGAAACTACTGCGCATGCGGTTGAGGAAAACATGCAGGTTGCGATATTTGTCGGTTATCAGTTAAAAATGTGCAGAATTTCTTTTCCAAAAACAATAAAAAGAAACTCGGAATTATTACAAATTATCCACTCAGCCGTATTTGGATCCACGAGTAACTGAATCCGAGGGAAAAGCAAGACACTTCAGTACATTTATTTACGACTGCACAAGATGGTGCGAAGTTCGTTTGCCAAGGAGTAGATCTAATGGCCGCGCAATAAGGTAAACTGTCAATGTTACCCACATAATTAGTCAAAAATATGTGTTTACGGGAATACACTTTTCGTCCTTGTATGAGAATATTTCCTTTGACTTGTAGACAGACTTTTTGAAATGTATTGCATGACTCGCTCACTGCCATCCGGGTATTTGTGTGACAAAACTGCCCCAATACGGTATGAACTCGCATCTGTCTAAAATTAAAGGTAATTTGGGATTGTAATGTGCTAAACAATTCTTATTCTGAAAATTTTATTGTTTCCGCGTAATAATTTGTAAAAAGGTTCTAACAATATCATTGCATCTTTTATAAATCTACTGTAATAGTTTATAAATCCTACGAAAGCTCTCACTTCGTGAGTATTTTTAGGTCTGGGCATCTTTTCGATGGCTTTAATTTTTGTATCATCCTTATGTATACCGTTTCTATCTATTACGTATCCACAATATTTTATCTGATCTCTGAAAAATTCACATTTTTCCGTATTTATTTTAATATTGTATGTATTTAGTCTTTCAAATACTTGTTGAAGTCTTTTTAGATGTTCTTTTTTTGTAGGAGCCGTAACTTTAATGTCATCTAAAAACACTTCGACACCTTCTAACCCAGCGAGTATATTCTCTATTTCTCTTTGCCAAATTGCAGGAGCAGAGGCAATTCCGTACAATAACCTTTTGCATTTGAATAACCCCATATGTGTACTTAAAGTCAGCAGTTCCGCGCTTTTGTCGTCTACTGCCATTTGTAAATAGGCTTGTTTTAAGTCAATCTTTGAAAAACACGTGCCTCCAGCCATAGACGAAAATAGAGTTTCAATGCTTGGTAAAGGATGCTCATCGACAATGAGTTGCGGATTTACCGTAATGCTAAAATCTCCGCATATACGAATTCTATTATTCTTCTTTAATACTGGAACGATTGGTGTCGCGTAGTTTGATGTATCGACCTTTTCCAAGATTCCTTCTGCTACCAGCAATTTGATTTCTTTCTCAACTAACTCTTTTATTTTGAAAGGAACCGGGCGAGCTTTTATAAAGATAGGCTTCGAATTTTCCTTTAACGTCAATTTGGCTTCTATGCCCTTAATTTTTCCCAAATTTGAATCTGTAATATTTTTGTATTTATTAAGTAGATTTTTAATCTCTACTTCCATATTATCTTCTAACGAGTTTACTTCTGATGTAGGAACAAATAATGTATCTGCGCAATTACCATGTAATAACTGATGCAACCACTCCCTACCTAAAAGGGGAGCGCGTTCCACTTCCGTTAAATATAAATTTAATATGTAATTTGTATTCGCGAACTTAACATTAACAGTAATAAAACCTACTACTTCTACTTGATTTTTACAATATGTAACTAACTTAATTTCAGTCCTGTGTATTACTTCACCTTTAAACAGTGACCTAGCTTGTTCTTTATACTGTTCACGGATTCTCCGCTGCAATGAGCATTTGGGAAATATACATAAGAAAAAGGAGGGATCGAAGCATGCCGAGCCGTATCCGAGTGCGAGTTCGATCATGAACGCTCGTTATTTTTTAGAAGTGGGGCACACAAGTGGCCATGGGTTTTTGCGCTGTCGATTGTTTGCAAATATCCTGTCCTCCGATTGGCGCGGCTCTAGCAGCGTTTGTTTATTGTAAAGCGACCGCATTGGTGCGGCTCTAGCATCGACTGATTTCAAAGTTATCGCATTGGTGCGGCTCTGGCAGTGATTTTTAGTATAAAAATCGGCACCTCGAGCCAATCGACGACACTTCTTACTTTGGCTCCACGGTGTGGAGATCGGTACAAAATAGCAATAGTTGCGGTCTAAGGGTGATCCCTTGCAGTTCTTATATTGTGAGTCGGACTGATGATCCAGTTGCCGACAGGTAAGGGTGACTCCTAGTGGAGTACCCGAAATAGTGAGTCGTCGGAGTGGTCCGCGAATAGACGGGAAAGTACAAGGGTACTGTTTCCAGCTCACGGTGCGGCGATCTCGGCGACGGCCCTGGCCAACCGTGCAGCATCCGGCCTCGTTGTAATACGGGCCTACTTCCAGGAGGGGATTGAGGTACTCCTGAAGTTGAGGGACCACTGCGCATTGGCGTAAATAATTTGAGTTGAGAGAGCTCTCTAGGCCTAGTTTAGAACATGTATATTTATTGTAAATTGATGTGACGGTCAATTAACCGACCCTTAAATCGAATAAAGTCAATCTAGCTTGCTTCGGCTTTTCCCCCTATTTCGAGGGGGTTTTTATGACTAAGCAAGTTTCAATTTCTTTTCGGGAAAACCTGGTGTCTGATTCCTTTGATTCCGATCTTTCATTCCTTCGAATTCCCCTTTCTAATCTTAAATAGCTTATCAAGTGTTGAAGTGGTCAACATTTTCTGGTGCTCCGGGTAAGGAATGAATAATCGAAATTAAGTTGAATCGTGTAAATTGATAATTTATTAATTGCCGTAAATTGAGACAGGCGTAAGCCCTTGATGATCTTTTGTCTTTCACGATGTAGACGGTACGGCGTGCAAGCCGAGACGCGTTCAAAGAAAGAAGGGGAAGGCTAGTTGGCTTTGGATATCGAGCAGGACGTATCTGTACGACTTTCAAAATGGCTTTGCCATCGTTGCGAGTGCTCACCGCCTTGCAGAATTCGCGTTTGGCGGAAATAGAATTAACAGCTAGTCGTTTAAGAGAAAAACCGCGTGATACCGTGAATTTAAATATTGTGGCTTCGCGAATTGATGCTCTTCTGGAGATCTGGAGTAAAGCGCGTGCCACGCATGAAGAGATTATAGTCCGGGAAGATTCGGAAAACGATCCGTACGTCACCGGGACGGTATTTGCGCGTTTACAAGCGGTGTACGAAGACACTCTCGACTATCTGTTTACAACAAAGACAGAGCTGGACAATGCCTTATCCAATTTGAGAATGACGGTGAGTATTGGGACGTGTGGCTCGTGTTCCTGGTAGTATCCAAGTTAGATCCAGAGTCGCGGAAAGCGTGGGAGTCCGAATTAAGTAAAAAGGACCGTCAAGTACTCTCGGACGGCGAGGCTGACGTGTTCAATATAGATGCTCTTGCTCGGTTCCCAAAATTCTCTGACTTAACCGAATTTTTTGAAAATCGTGCTCAGATATTTGGTATGGTCGCGGCTGAGCGGAATAGTGAGGGCGGAAACAGTCCTGCAGCATGGGTGAAGCAGATACCAGGGGCGCGGAAAATATTTCACACTGCTGTAATGAATCAGGGGAACGGAAACATTAAATGTTTGTTATGTTCTAGGCCTCACCGACTTCATAAGTGTTACCGATTCAAAGCTAAGGGTCCTAGTGAATGTCGCGCGGAGATACGTCGGTTGCGACTTTGCTTCAGTTGTTTCGGGTCGTCATATAAATGCGCAGTTTGTAAAGAGAAGCACATTCTCTAATTCACCAGGTAGCTACGAGTTCCGAGAAGCTCCAAATTTCCGAAAACAAATCGATCGCTAGTATGCGCTACTACGCGCCTCGTGGTGTAGTCGTTGATTGACCCGGCGGTCAAGTTTGAGACGGATGCCCTCATCTTGAAGAAGGTGACGTCACAGCTTCCAGCACGCCAGCTGTTAAAAATTGATCTGGACGTGTTCCACGGCCTACCTTTAGCGGATCCACAATTTTACGTCCTTGCGTTCCACACGCATGACATTTGACAGTTTTGCTAAATGTGCAACTTGTGACGAAATGTTCTTTTCCACATCTGTAGCACTTAACTGGTTTGTACATATGAATACTCTTTGCTTGTTTATCGGTTGTAAATCTGCCTGACTGAGCGTATTGGCTCTTTCTTGTATCCATTGATTTTGTATTTTTCTTCTTATGATTTGTTTTATCAGCATGTAAATACTCCACAGAACTTGTACTATGTCGCAATTGTTTTACCTCCTTCTCCGTTAGTTCTATGGCTGATGCAATTTGTACAGCTTTTTCAAGCGTTAAATCTTTTGTTTCCAGGAGTCGTTGACGTATCTTTTCATTATGGAAACCTTGTACTAATTGATTGCGAATTGCCATATAGAAAAGTACCGAAATTGCAGTACTTACTTAATCTTTTTAATTCAGTAACGTACTCTTGCATTCCTTCTCCTGTTTGTTGCATTCGTTTGCCGAACTTGTAACATTCCGCGATTTATAATTTTTCTGGTGCATAAAGTTCATGTAATTTATCCGTTAACTCTTGGTACGAAACTTTCGATAGGTTTGCAACATTCATATGCGTGTGTAAGGTATATGCTTTCCCACCTATGTGTAGCAGCAGATAACACACTCTATCAGAGTGTTCAGAACGGTAAAAGTCAATTCCGTTCTCTGCAGCCACTGTTCCCAAGTCGTAGTATCTGGATCGAATGTTTCGAATTTAATCTGGTTAAGCATTGTAGGGTGTGCCATTTTTGTTCTTTATCGTATGTCCCTCGTACTCGTGTTGTAACACACCACGTGGTCTTTTAGGTTAACCAAGTACCGATTCTACTTTTGTAACTATTTCCACTCGAGAAATCCCATCTTCGTCGCCATTTATGTTGTAAATCTAGGGATAGGGTAGACGTATGTATATCAAATGCTGTATCTAGTTGCATTCACATAACTATTATATTTAAAGTAAGTTCGTATACAGATTTCCCGAGCTAACTTCCACTCCAACACTCCGGCACACCCATCCATACACCAAGGCCCCTCTCTCTACAACGCAACATCACTCGTGCCCTCTCACTAACAATCCGCATACATGTCACCTATCTTAACAATTAATAACTAATTAACGAAGCTCGAACCATAATTTCGACTACTAGTAGATTCACACCCGTATAAACATCCCATATATAATATATAACTATAAATTATATATTTATTTCTCATAAGCTAATTATAACAATTTTTTGAAAATTATGCAAGGCAATCGAGACACATCATTTTATCGAAGTTTGCATTGTACTAATCCTGAAAGCGTCGCAGATGCACGGGAAAACTTATCATATCTTATCGCTGAATAATCGTGATAGAATAATTTAGACATTGTACAGAGATTTAATCAGCTCTCACGATCAAAGAGTAAATGTCATCTAACCAGTTCTCACGGTCAGATCACTGTAAAATGTCTCGATTATCCTATCACTATGACTCAGTGATAAGAAATGAGTTTTTCCACGCATCCGCAACTATTTCAGGAGCAGTGCAGGCACTAATGATCGTAGAAGCTATACAGACGGCACAGCTACACATCCATTAGGGGAAAGCGAGAGAAAGAGGAAGGAAAAGGAAGGCACGGGATATAGAGTGCCATAAAACAGTCAGGTGGAGGGACCACTGATCTGGTACGGGGGCAGAGGCCACGCAGAAATTTTTATAAATGTGAGTGTGATAGTAATAAAGAAAAATAGAAATAGAAGAAGGAAGAGTAGAATAAGAAGAGAAACAGTATAATAAGTGTTAAATAAATTGTGCCTCTATTGTATTATAG